TTACGACTTGCGTGCTTACTGTACAGTACACATGACAGCTTCATATCCTAAGGAATAATCACACATCAAAAGAAAACTAAAACAACATCACAATGTTCTCGCTTTAATACTCAATCAGAACCAGAAACCATTGCTCATGTCGCCTTATTAACTAAATAAAGAAATAATCATGACACAAAAAGATCACAAGTAAGTGTTTTGAAAACATTTGAAAGACCACTTTATTAACAAATCACGGTACTCGCAGTAAACAGACAATCATCACACAAGCCACCCAATAATCATAACCATGCATAGCATAATCAAAGTAATATACTAAGAAATTGACTTAATTACCGGTAATTATGAAACAGTTAAATAGCGTTGTTGTTTTTTTGGCAATTTTACAACCCATTAATATAATAAATATTATGGTATTGTGACTATTTTTCCTGTGACCTTTTTTCCGTGACTTTATTTTCCTGTGACTTTCTTTCCTACATCGCCGCACGTGGGGCGGGTTTGTGATCTAAGGGAGATAACTCTAACAAGGCCAGACAACTGGTGACTGTTCAGATTCCTGTAAAATAGCAACGACCAGTAGATCTATATACTTCGAAGAAAGACAGGCAACTGGTATGTATCAAGACAACTGCCTGTGGTGCGATGCATAATGTATTGCTGTGATTATGACCCAGTTGATGACACATGTAGACAACTGCCCCACTGACAGGGAAACAGTGTGGTAAGCACCCGCCATAGATAAGCAGTAAACATCGTCTCGAGAGAACCAGGCAGGCGATAAGGTGTCTCTCGTGACAGCAATACATATCGACGTTATTTTCCATTGCAGCAACACCAACCTAGGTCGGATTCAGGGTCGACAGCTTCGACTAAGTGTACGCCCGCACTAGACCTATTTACGTAGATCTACTCCACACGTAACAGTGGTCCTTGGTCCACTAAAACAGCCGCACACAGACAGGCCACAGGTGAGACAACCGATAACAGCCCTGATTAGTGTCCTATAAATAATCTGCTGATAACCCTCTGATATAGACAGATTGCTGCTTGTATATTGTTGTTTTAGGTTGATCTTTATCAAGCGTATGGTCTAGGGGCAATTTCAGCTGTTTAGGAAACCACTTGGCTCGTGATGTGATAATAAATTATGAAAAATCATTTTCAAAATAACATACTTCCTCTGATCATGTGATTGGCTGGACTCATCAGTCAGTTATTTCCCCATATTAAAACACTAAACATGTTATTCTTTTGGGCATAACAGTCTTGTTTTGAAGACCAGGGTTAAAAATTGGGGTGACCCATGAAGATCCAGGTTACAATTGGTCTTCACCCAAGCAACCAAGTTTGTCATTACAGGGAACTAATGGGATTGGGTGGTCAGGCTCACTGAACATGGTTGACGTAATCGTATCTCAATAGCATAGATCGATGCTCATGATGTTGATCACTGGATTGTCTGGTCAAGACTCAATTATTCACAGACTGACACCAAATAGCTGGAATATTTAATATAATATATAGCTGGTTTAATATATTAAAATCAGTAATGTTACAAGGTATCTTAATCTAAATATGATTATGACCTAAAGGCACCTTTACAGAGGTTAAAAAAATCTCCATCGCCCGACGCCGGGGACAAGTCGGTTTTCATTTCGGGCAATCAAATAATGGTATCCTACTAGATAATTTCCACTTATGGTTTCAAACTGCAAATAAACTTGGATTTAATTTCATATCTGCTCAAAATGTAGCTATTAAATTTCCCAATGATAATAAAATAAAGTTATCTTTCTTTGCTATTTATCACTTTTCAATAAATAGTCCTGTAAACATAAACATCAAATACCATGTTGATTTATTCTTTCATAATTATATCATCATGATTATTTCATAAAATCAGGGCAAGTGGAAAATTAGTCAGGGCAAGTTACGTTCTTAAAGTCACTTGCCCTGTGGCAATTGACTTTTTAAATTTTTTTTGAACCCCTGCTTTAACATATTTTTACCTTTTTATTATTATTTTGACCTTGCAGAGATGGCAAATTTCCGCAGATCTGCTGATTTCTGGAGTTTTTATTTCAAATTGATCAATCCTGTGAATCGTCTTAATCTGTTGAGAAACCTTGAACCCCCCCCCATTTTCATAAAAAAAAAACCATTCAGTGACACAATATTAAGTTTTCAGCTAAAAATAATTTTTGTTGTTGCCATCCCCGACCTTGGGATTGGCACCGTAGTCCATAGATTCCTGATGTGACTTGGTCTTGTGAGTGGAAATATGATTGACAATGACCACAAACCATGATCAAGTTTGGCAATGGTCTTTTGAAAACGACATATAGTGAGTTCAACAATGAGGAAATAGTGATGATATTATGTCACAAGATTTAATGAAATAGTTTGACTTAGTAGCTTACATTTGTTTCTGTTGATTTCAGATCACAGCAAGTGTCAGGATTGTTTCTTGAATGATGTCAGCTCTCTCACCACGCGAGTCCGGGAGGTTTATAGCTGAGACAAGCAAAGATGTGACCATCAATCTCGATGGCGTCAAGAAGTGTGCCAAGTTTGTGAGTGTTTTACAGATTGCTTGGACTCACATCCTTTTCTTAATCTGCAGCAGGATCTTTGAACAAACTGTCACTGGATCTTGAAGACGTAACATTTTCTGCTTTCAAATCTGGAATAAATGAAAGCAACAAATCCCTTTTCACATCAATGTGAAGTCTCTGCTAAGAAATGAGTTGAAGGTCCGATCCTAACTGACATCATGTTGACAGATCCTGCACATGAGGCATATGTAGAGAAACACGACTTATCAATTATAGTACCAGTCGTTTGAAAGAATGGTGTGATCGTTAACTTTATTTGATTAGCACGTAAGCCTTTTTAGAATGGGCATGTATGTTTGTTAGTCCTGTTACAATTCACTTGTGTATTTGGTGAATCGAAACATATCCCTTCATAAATTCAATTCCTTATTCATGGTCACTAGTATTGTATATTTACGAATATGTTTAAGAGCGTGTTTTTACTAACTAGTTTATGCTGTTTGTATTTTACAAACTAGTTTGTTGTTTAACTGAGTTAATGTAATGCAAAAAGGAATGTATCCAGCCATGCTGTAGCGTAACTTATGTTATATTCAAGTGGGCCGCTTGTGGCACTGTCACAGCTATAAGCGGCATTGTTCGTGATGTATTCCAATTTTTTCATTTTATCAAAAATATCATTTAAATGTTTCAGCTTAAGCAATTACATGGCGTGTTTGATATTCTAATTTCTAGATAGCAACCATAAGGTATTGCTGAAGAAATGTTCATAATTATTTCTATATATTCGTATAAATATCGTATTCACCTCACAGTGTATTTATTCATTGCAGCACTAATGTGTGTATATGTAGAATGGTAATTGTTCCTGACTGAGTGTCATCTAGTGCTTACCTTCGGCTGACCCGTGAAGATCCGGGTTAGAATTGATCTTTACTGAAGCTAGGACTAAAGCTGTGACTAACAGGATCTGGAGGTCAGGCTTGCTGGCTTAGGTCCAGACTCAATTTTTTTTAGACTGTCGCCATATAGCTGGAATATTGCTGAGTGCGGCGAAAAACTAAACTCACTCACTCCCCGAGACGGTGAGATAGCCTAGTGGTAAAGGCGTTCGCTCATCACGCTGAAGACCCTGGTTCGATTCCCCACATGGGTACAATGTGTGAAGCCCATTTCTGGTGTCCCCTGCCGTGATGTTGCTGGAATATTGATAAAAGCAACTTAAAACCCAACTCACTCACTCACTCCCCGTCTGCTCCAGGTGTACGAGGAGGTGAAGAAGACGGGGTATGGGGTGAGATCCTGGAGGGAGAACGAACTTCACCCGAAGACAATGGACGAAGCTGCAGTGAACTGGTATGAACAAGCAGTAACCACAAGAAACACTCCCCCTTTTGTCTCCTAATCTGCCAAGGAGGTTGGGTAGCCTCATGGTTCAAGTGTTCAAGGCATGGGTTTGATTCCCCACATGGGTGCAATGTGAGAAGCCAATTTCTGGTGTCCCCTGATGTGCTATTGCTGGAATATTGCTGAAATTGATTTGGGGAAACTCGCCAAATATTTAAAAACATATTTTACAAATGGATCATATGTGTTTTTCTTGTCAAATAGCAATAACATGTTAATGATATTTTGTGACCTGAAAACTTTACTGTTACACTGGTGACCTGACCACTCATCTAAATATGGATCTTGTAAGGTCACTCAGTAAGATGAAAGACACATATTTTCCTTATAATAATATTATGGTATTCTAATTGGTCATTATAGTGTAATAAAGTACAGTGTTGCCCTGAACTATTAAAACAGTCCTTGTACTTTAAGTGTAATAGTTTAGGGCAAAAGTGTACTTTATTACACTATACATGGGGGGACAGTGAACTGTATTTCTTTAGTCACGTGATTGTACTGTGTGTTACTCCTGCAGGGTGTTCGTGGCCGATGCTCTCAACTTCTGTTTCTGGTCACGTGACCCCAGCAAGAAGTACTACGTTGACTACAAGGGCAAGAAATGGACAGGCTACTGGTGTCTGTGTGCAGCTCTCAACAGGGCTATTGAGGTGAGGTCTGGTTGGTCTGCACCAGTGGGTCTATGTTGGTGCCTATGTTTTGCCTTGTTTGAATGTAATTTACTGTATGTAATTTACTGCATGTAATTTTGGTGTATATCATGACTCTGGTCTAGTTTTAAAAAAAATTGAAGAAAAAATTTTGAAGCTAGTTATCCATTTACTTCTTTGAGTGTCATTTTTAGAAGTTGGAGAGTCAGATAAGGAAGAACTTTATGAGCAACTTATTTATTCAGGTAATGCGACATTACGATACAGATTCTTGTTATTATCATACCTGCTAGACAACGAAACAAGAAGCTGTATTGAAACGTTGCATCACCTGAATAATGACGTTCATCCATAAAGTTTGTCCTTATGTAGTTATCCATTGTTAAAGACTTCTAAAATGATACCTGTATGCTGTTGTATGAAGATGAGTATCGATATTGTATGAAGATGAGTATCGATATGCTGTTGTATGAAGATGAGTATCGATATGCTGTTGTATGAAGATGAGTATCGATATTGTATGAAGATGAGTATCGATATGCTGTTGTATGAAGACGAGTATTGATATACTGTATTATGAAGATGAGTATCGATATGCTGTTGTATGAAGACGAGTATCGATATGCTGTTGTATGAAGATAATTATAGATATGCTGTTGTATGAAGATGAGTATCGATATGCTGTTGTATGAAGATAATTATCGATATGCTGTTGTATGAAAATGAGTATCAAAATGTTGTGGTATGAAGATGAGTATCGATATGCTGTTGTATGAAGATTATTATCAATATCGATATTTGTTATCGTCCACTACGTGTAAGTATTCGGCAGCAAGGAGGGGAATACTTACACGTAGTGGACGATAACACATCAGCAGCAAGGAGGGGAATACCTACACGTAGTGGACGATAACACATCGGCAGCAAGGAGGGGAATACTTACACGTAGTGGACGATAACACTTCGGCAGCAAGGAGGGGAATACTTACACGTAGTGGACGATAACACATCGGCAGGTAAATAGTTGTGTTAAATGTGCATTTACATGTATGAAGATGAGTATCATTATGCTGTATCACCCAGGATGGTATCAACATCACTGACCCCAACTTTTATGCCAGCATCACACAGGACCAACTGGCATCCGTGTTCCGGTCGGAGTCAGAGGTAGACATTCCGCTGTTTCAGGAGAGACTGGACGTGTTGCACCAAGTGGGTCAAGTCCTCATACAGGTAACTATCTGGATAACAATCTGGCGGTGGGGTAGCTCACTGGTTGAAGCGGTTGCTCATTATGCCGATGACCCGGGTTCATTCCTCACATGGTTACAATGTGTGAAGACAATTTTGACCGTCCCCCGCTGTGATATTGCTAGAATATTGCTAAAAGTGGGGTAATAACTTTAAAAGACCAGAGACCATTTACCGAAAAGTCCAACACCTTCACTGATCTTCTCATAGTAGAAGGTCCTAAGTATCACTTGTCACAAAGGGGTCTGAAACCCTGTTAGCAGGATGTTATAAAGGAAAAACAGTGATGAAAGGATCCTTAACATAGTTTCGTTAGACAGATGAAAAAATGAACAATTTTTTTAATGAAAAAATACCTTTCTGCCTAGCAGCTTTGTATAAGATGCAGAAAAAAATGTCCAGCATGCACAAATGTTGTACCCCAAGGAACACACAGTAATATTCACTGTACAAGAATCGGAACATGAAATGTGAGCTTTTCGTTAAAACAAAATTACTACATCTTACAGTACAGGGGGGGTGGTGGGGTAGTCTAGTGGTTAAAGCGTTGGCTCGTCTCGCCAAAAACCCTGGTTCGATTCCCCACATAGGTACTATGTGTGAAGCCCATTTCTGGTGTCCCCCGCTGTGATGTTGCTGGAATATTGCTAAAAGCGGCGTAAAGCCAAACTCAAGTCAGTACAGTACAGGGTGCCATTGTACAACTGTCTGACTGAGTTTGGTTTTACGCCGTTTTTAGCATTATTCCAGCAATATCACGGCGGGGGACACCAGAAATGGGCTTCACACGTTGTACCCATGTGGGGATTCGAACCCGGGTTTTTGGCGTGACGAGCCAACGCTTTATTGTACAAAGCAATCTTAGTGCTAAGGTGACCGTAACTCCCATACCTTAACATAGACTTGAGATAGTCTTAGCGCTATGGTGACCGTAACTCCCATACCTTAACATAGACTTGAGATAGTCTTAGCGCTATGGTGACCGTAACTCCCATACCTTAACATAGACTTGAGATAGTCTTAGCGCTATGGTGACCGTAACTCCCATACCTTAACATAGACTTGAGATAGTCTTAGCGCTATGGTGACCGTAACTCCCATACCTTAACATAGACTTGAGATAGTCTTAGCGCTATGGTGACCGTAACTCCCATACCTTAACATAGACTTAAGATAGTCTTAGTGCTAAGGTTATTTTGAACAACGGCACCCAGGACTGTACACTACCTCATTACTCTGCAGGACCCTCATTTAAAGACATTTGAAATTAGTAGTTGGGTCCTGACCACTTTTGTAGCTCAAGGTGAGTGAGTGAGTGTAGGTTTATGTCACACTCAGCAATATTCCAGCTGTATGGCGGCCATCTGTAAATAATCGAGTCTGGACCAGACAATCCAGTGATCAACAGCATGAGCATCGATCTGCACAATTGGGAACCGATGGCATCTGACCAGCCAATCCTGTTAGTCACCTCTTACAACAAGGATGGGTTACTGAAGATCAATATTCTGACCTGGATCTTCACGGGTCGTAGCTGAAGGTAAAACACAGGCATAGGTTTATCATAACTTGATAGCTGAAACCTTTTACCTTTCTGTGTTTCATATTGTTGCTTCAAGAAGTTGGAATATGATCTCCAGCTGTGTATTTATCATTTACAAAATGCAACTCTATTACGCAAATATCTGTGTTGAGATGTGACTCATTTCTTTGTCAGAAATATGAGGGCAACTTCGCCAACTGTGTCAAGAAGTGCAATGGCAGTGCCAAGGATCTTCTCAACCTCATTGTTACAGAGTTCCCTCCCTTTAGAGATGAGGCTGATTATAATGGGAAAAGAGGTAAATAATTACATTGTTATTCATAGATTTGATCACTATTTGAGCCGTACCAATTTACGCCTATCAGAGGTGCACACAAAGTATGTGAGCTAAAATTCCAGTTTTCTGAGTTCCATATTTGTGGGCTGGCGATTTAGGTGCTTAATTCTGGAGTTTTGGGGAATTGCCACTGTAGTCTTCAGACATGAAGTTAAATTTAGGATACTGGTAGGGCTGGGACGGGTAGGAAAAAATGGAATCGAGTACCCGCATGTACTTACCCGAATCGGAATCGAGTACCCGGAAATGTAAGGAATACAGCGCTCTGTCAACCTTCTGAATATCCAATCACGATTTGACAGAAATTATTATAGAAAATTTGAAAGGATGGCGATAAGACATTGAAACTGATCTTAGACTATTTAATTTACGTCTGTTTAACTAATATAAAGAGTAACACCATTACTTACATTCCACGGCACTTTTCGTTCACACTGTTACTGTGACATGACAACTCATTGCTCATGTGCAAATAAATAACAGTCGTTAATAATAACATCCATTAACCGGACAATACCAAAGATGTAAATGTGTGTTACGTCAATGAGAAAGACACGTTATTTTGTCAACAAGTACACAACTACCTTCAGGTGTGATATTCTGACTGAACCTGAACCTATAAAATGTATATTAACTGAATGGAATTATATGTGATCTAAGTGAATTGTGCTTCTATATATTTCTGATAACTTTCTTCTTATTGTCATGATAATCAGTCGAACATTGCATTTGCAAATCAGAATGTGCTCTTTCAATAAACGTTCGCTTTAATATGTTAATTCATTAGTTTTAATTGATATCACCAACACATACAATCATTTAATTACAATCTCTATAAAGTGAATGTATTCAGCCTTGACACAGAGATAAAAGATGTGTTCATGAAACTGAAATGACAAAATTCAATGTAATCTTAACAGCATTTAATGAACTAACTTAATAAGCAATTAGAGTTACACAATGCAATGAACACCTTTATGTTTTACATTGTGTTTTAGAACAAGATGTTTGTTCATTGAACTTGCACTGCTTCCACAATAAATAACATGGTACCACAGAGTCGGCATTTGGTTCTCTTGCCATTTGCATCAAGCTCAAAATGAGCCCAAACACTCCACTTAGCATGCGTGTCATCCATTTTGTTCTTGGTTTGTGTTACATGCCCTTGACATTACAGAGTTCTCTCCCCTTTCCGGGTACTCGATTCCTTGGAATTGGACTCGAATCCAGCTGTACCCGATCCGGATTCGAGTACCCGAGTATCCGTCCCAGCCCGAGATACTGGTGCGTAACCCCATGGTTACTTCCTTTCAGTTTTTTGAAAGAGTAGACCATGAAAAAATATACAGCTTTTTACTGATACAATGGAATAAAGCTACCACTACAAGAAAGAACTGCTTGTATTTGTGTTTGATGATGGTTTCAGTGTCACTCCATAAGAGAGCCCAGATCCTGATCGCTGACGTCTGGGGATGCTGCGAGGGAAAGGGTCTGGGGACGTTTCACGACATTGACAGCATCACCATGTTTGCAGATTACAGGTAACACAGGTTCCACTGCTGTCAGTCTCTTCCACAGTGTTGATAGTGTACCAAGCAATTACAGGCTTGAAAATGTGTTCAGTAATTATATGTTTTTGAAGATGGCACACATATTTTTGTATTTTTTCATGCTCTAAATAGAAACATTTAAACAAAGGTTTTTAGACGATGTCTGCAAAACTGTTCATCATAGTGACAACAAGAGTGTTCATTTAGAATTCCAATTCTGTTCAATGGGGGAGTAGTTTGACAATTATTGTTTCCTTTCTTATCAAATTTGGGGCGGTGGGGTAGCCTAGTGGTCAGTGCGTCAGCTCATAGAAACCCGGTTCGGTTTTATTCACATGGGCACAATGTGTTAAGTCCAGTTCTGGTGTCCCCCGACACGATATTGCTGGAATATTGCTAAAAGCAGCGTAAAACTAAACTCACTCACTCACTCACTCTTATCAAATTTTACTTCTCCTTTTTGATGTGTGATCTAACTTCATAAGATTCATTCACACATGAACTCTGGCGGTATCTATAGCATGAAAGGAAAATGGCTATAACATCAAAGAAGAAAACAAACAAAACACTTGTGTGTGGTCAAATATGGGCGAAGTTTATTCAGTATTGGTGGCGGTATCCTGGGGGAAGATACTTGTCAAAATAATAGCCACTTGCAATTATGAAACACCTCAGTAGGCCAGGGGAGATAACCCACCAGGGTGAGCAACTCCCCTCCCTGTTCCTGTTGACAAGCAGTGGACTGCAAGCTGCCGGAGTAACTCGTGCAAAATCACGGCAAGATGTCGGAGAGTTCCCAGCAGGATCAACCCCAAGCCACAGCTATAAGCGCAAAGAAAAGGGATACTTGTGATGGGGATTTATTAACAAACATTACCTCCAGCTAACCATCCCTATTCAAATTAAGATCCTCTACATCTTATACAACACTGCACAAGTGGAAAACAAAACCCATAGTTGACAGATATAATGTTATTTACCCCTAAAAAACCAGTCTTCTACGCAACTTATTTGATAATACTGGCTGATGTAAAAATAAAGGGTATTTAATGGCTATCTGACTTTGTATTGAGTGAGTGAGTTTAGTTTTACGCCGCACTCAGCAATATTCCAACTACATGTATATGGCAGCGGTCTGTAAATAATCGAGTCTGGACCAGACAATCCAGTGATCAACAGCATGAGCATCGATCTGCGCAAGTGGCTTTGTATCGAGCCCAACCAGGTGTCCATATAGATGTGTATGTCATGTTCAACATGATTGACCTTGCTCCACTTGTCAATATTTGACAAGGGTAATTAACCAATCAGATTGCGGAAAATACTTACTATTGGTTTACAATATTTTGGGGATGGTCAACTGCTGGTTGTGCTGTAAAATAAAGGCGGGGGAAAACAGCACGTGTGTGGAAAATTGCACTTATATGACATTGAATAGAGCAAAATGGAGAAAAGTGACTGGCTCCTAAAATATGCATTTATCATAAGTGGGAAAGCAAAGTGTAACAGCAATGTCCTGAGACTTGTATCACTTCTGTGTTCAGGGTGCCACAGGTCCTGGTCTACTTTGGAGCTCTGCAGTACTCAAACACTCTCATGGACCTGCTCCGAAAGGTATGTATTTTGTAGCTTGTCTTATCATTACCTGTTAAAGAAACCTGCTGCCCCTAAATAACCATGCAAGTCAGCTGGCAGGCCTATAGTGACATCATGGTATCTTCATGTTTATAGGCCGCCTCCGTGGTGTAGTGGTTAGAGCGTCCGCCCAGAGAGCGGAAGGTCGCGGGTTCGATCATACCAAAAGATGTTAAAATATGGTACTTGTTGGTCCCTGCCTGGCGCTCGTCATTAATGGGTACAACAAGGACTGGTCGGCTCGGGAGTCAGTATACTGTGTCTGAGTGGGTATTCATGCTTCACTGCGGCATGGTATCTCAGTGGGCTAGCACTATAAAACCGGCTTCAGTCTGGGCTAGTACAAGCAGCTGCACATACACAGACACACGCATGCACGTCGTCATATGAGCGAAATATTCTCAAGCACGACGTTAAACCCAATTTCACCTCACCTCACCTCATGTTTATAATTTCTCTTGGTTGACACATCACAACTGACAAATATTTCACTGAATTCTTTTGGGCGTATGAACCAAGAACTAGATGTGTTGGCTTTTATGAGCAGAATGTATGTGTACAATACTCATCCTTCCAGTCCAGAATATCCTGGACCCCGTTTCTCAAGCATACGTAATGCTACAACTAATGTCATCCTATATTGTAACGTACATATAATATTATGACATTCACGCTACAAAATACGCAGAGCCTTTTCAGCGTAACAAATGTTCTATTTGGGATTACACTTTCTTAGTAAATCACTTCCGGTGCAGATAATATTAATAATAATGAGAGTATTTGCATAGCACTACATCCAGTTACTAATACCCGCTCATGGCACTAAGATCCAGGTTAGAATTGGTCTTCACCAAACCGTTTTTGTTATAATAGGGATTTGGTGGTCAGGCTCGCTGACTTGGTTGACACATGTCATCGTATCCCAGCTGCAAAGATCGATGCTCATGATGTTGATCACTGGACTGACTGGTCCAGACTCAATTATTGTTATGTGCGGCGTTAAACAACAAACAAACAAACAAATTTTGTAAAGCACAAATTGTAGTACTTTCGGTGTTAAGTTCACTTTATGTGCTGGTGATATGGTGCATGACTTGGAGAGTGAGGGTAAGAATCCCAGGTGTGATTGCATCCCAAGAGCTTTTTTTTACTATGACATCAAATATATTCACTCACACAATTTATCCACATTTACAACCACATGCAGACTTGATGCAGAATGTCTGTAACTGTCTCTTTTTATCTCCCCTGAAATTTCAACGACTGACTCCATGTTATTATTTGTTGTGCAGACACTCTGATGAAGAATGGCGACCGTCTGGAGGTGGAGATCCGGGGATGCAGTATATGGGCTACTGAGGTGTGTTTCTCAGTGTTTCTCAGTGTTCATGAAGATCAACAACCTGTCATCTATAAAATACAAGTCAGCTCTAAAAAGCCTGAACAAATTGGTTATAAGTAGAATAATGTTTTGTGGGATAATTAATTTCAAATCTAGGATTTTTACTGCCATTTCTTGCATAGAAATACAGGCAAAATATCACCCTTCAACATGTCCAGATAAATTCCTTGACTTGGATAATGTGTACATCAGTACACAAAAAATTATTTGTTTAAGCTCTGTTTCTTTATGTGTTGTCTTACTTTTGTATCACATCATGAATATTCATATTTATATTCATGTAATTGTAATTGTACCAATTGTGGCACTTCCATTAACTCAAATCTTTACCGACCTGTGAAGATATGGTTTAGAACTGGTGTTGCTTGTTGTAAGAGGCGACTGATTAGAAAGGCTCACTGATTTGGTTGACCCATGTCATCATTAGTGTCAGACCGCTGCCATATTTGAATCCCAGTTCCATGAAATTGTTTTGGTAGCTCTGTAACTAGTCCTGTATATGGAATCCATGAAGATCCAGGTTAGAATTGATCTTCAACAACCCTTGTTTGTGGTAAGACGCAACTGAGGTAAGAGGTAAGAGGATCGGGTGGTCAGGCTTGCTTGATGACATGTCATCGTATCCCAGTTACGTAAATCGATGCTCATGCTGTTGATCGCTGGATTATCAGGTCCAGACTTGATTATGTACAGACCGCCGCCATATAGCTGGAATATTTCTGAGTGCGGCGTAAAACTAAACTTTCTCGCTCACTCACCCTGTATATGGACAGACAGATCACATAGAAATATTGCCATGAAGTTGGACAAGCCAGTCTTGTACAGTGAGTGAGTGAGTTAACTTTTACGCCACACTCAGCAATATTCCAGCTATATGGCGGCGGTCTGTAAATAATCGAGTCTGGACCAGAAAATCCAGTGATCAACAGCATGAGCATCGATCTGTGCAATTGGGAACTGATGACATGTGTCAACCAAGTCAGCGAGCCTAACCACCCAATCCCATTAGTCGCCTCTTTCGACAAGCATGGGTTACTGAAGACAAATTCTAACCCGGACCTTCACGGGTCAGTCTTGTGGAATGTGCTGCATCAATAAGATAATTGGTTTGTCAGGGCCAGGGAGATTAGCCATCTTCTGATGACTCTTGTCCTTCATTGCCTTCAGAGATTGTATTTATTGTGTTTTCAGCTGGTGTGTGAGGAAGCCAAACGATTGAAGGAAGCAGACAGTGACACCCTGGACTTTCAGATCAACTCCATTCTCATTGATGAGTTTCTGTGGGACTTCAGACGAGCTCATGTTCAGGAAACAGACTCTATACCATATCACAAAGTACGCTGTATTTATTACTGATGAGAAACAAACCTTCACCCTGATCGGTTGTGTTTGGTTAACACTGTGACACCCTACAATAAATCATATTGGAAGAAACTTTGAGTGTTCTGGAAAGACAGACTGGTAATAGGAACCTGACAAAGTCACAGCCAGGAACAGACAAAATTCTTATCAGCCACTGTGTAACTTCAGCATATGTTTGGTTCATTGTTTTTTATACAAATGTTTTTGTTTATATCCAGACTAATAGGACACAAACAAAGACAGGCAGGCTAGTCTATATTTTAACTTTTCTTGATGTTAACTGATAATTCCTCTTTGTGAATATATCTATTCCCTCTCTATCAGGGGTGGGTGGGTAGCCTAGTGGTTAAAGTGTTTGCTAGTCATGAAGACCCAAGTTTTATTCCCCATATGGGTACAATGTCTGAAGCCCATTTCTGGTGATATTGCTTTAAATATTGCTAAAAGCGGCATAAAACTTAACGCTCTCTCTCTCATCCTCAGTTCCAGAACCAAATTATTTTTCTTTCCATCCCCTCTTCTGTCTTAAGTACTCAGCCATCCTCTTTGTTTGAGTGAATATCTGCCTGGAGAGCACTCTCATCATATAGGTGAGGTGAAATCGGGTTTAACGTCGTGCTTCTGAATATTTCGACCTAATCATGATGATGTAATTATGAAAGCATGCGTGTGGTATGTGTATGTGCGACTTAAGCCGGTTTTATAGTGCTAGCCCAGTGATATACCATGCTGCAGTGAAGCATGAATGTCCCACTCAGACACATTATACTGACTCCGAGCCGACCAGTCCTTGTTGAACCCATTAATGCCGAGCGCCAGGCAGGGACCAACAAGTACCATATTTTAACATCTTTTGGTATGAGGCGGCCGGGATTGAACCCGCGACCTTCCGCTCTCCGGGCGGACACTCTAACCACTACACCACGGAGGCGGTCCTCATCATATAGAAAAAGGTTAAATGATGGTGTATGTTTATGATTGTTTGTGAACTGTATTACAAAAATGTGTTGCCTGTGTACTCCAAAAAGAAATAAAATGGTAAAAAACGTTTTCAGTACATTATGGCCTGCCTCGCACCCAGCACTGAGGGCATGAATCAAAGTCGGTTTGGAGACTGGTGCCTGTAAACTGTATGTTATCTCAGTTTGGTAGTACTTTAATACTGCATTAGACTATTACTAACAGCCAAACTCCTTTCAGACCCGCGAAGATAGCATGGGTCATCAACAACCCATGCTTGTCACAAAAGGCGAAAAATAGATTCAATTATTTACCAACCACTACCATAGAATATGGCATTCGTCACCACTTGCCCCTTTCCGTAACCGCTATTCGGCTTGTCCCGGAATAACACCAGTTGGTCACGAATGGGAATATGGCTGAGTGTGGCGTTCAACAGCAAACAGAAAAACTCAGTCTAACCTGTTCTCAATTCGATTACTGTTGAACAGCCAAAGTGTGAACCAGTCTTTTGTCTACATACAGGGAATAGTTATGCCAGATATTTGTTAATCTGGACATTTCAAATGTTCTTCATTGATGGGGTTTCAGTTTTAATATGTTTAAAACTGTATGGCAAGAGGGATGACTAACTTCAAAATAGTCAACTTCTCTATTAGTTCATGTGGAGCGATATTCAAGCAGCTTCAGCCTCTGGTGCCGACATGTAGCAACTTTTGAGATACAATTAAGCACGCACTTTCACTGAGTTCAAAGGGTATCATACCACTCTTGCTCTTTGTTTCATTATATTGTAGTCGTTCATGCTTTAACTACTTGTTTGCATGCTTGGTGCCAAAAGTATTCGGCACTTGACGTCATTTCCATAGACGTACATGTTAATTTAGTGTAGCATAAATAATTTTCATGAATGTAATTTTCGTAAGATCCAAGTCTAATTTTGCACATTTGTTAGGAATCATCTTACCTACATTCATATAAATTCTGTTTAATTTTCCGTTGCTTATTTATCGAATGGCAACATTTTAATCAACATGTGTACGGTGCCGTGAACTCCTTTAACATGGCGGCCTATGGGATTGTGCATTGTGGAACCATACGTAAGTTGATAAATGTGTTGTCATTAGTTAAATAGTGGTCGGAAAATAAAATTGAACTGAAATTATGTGCGCAGAGCAGAGATGAATTCAAATTTGACTGTCAAATTTTACAAACATCCATCCTAAACTCACTTCATGAATATTTTTTGTGCTAGACTGAAATAACATGTAAGTCTATGGAAATTACGTCAAGTGTCCGAATACTTTTGGCACGGGACAGACAGCTGCATGGGAGTCTGTCTGCCACATGCACTAGGCTGTTGTGTTTAGGCGTTTGAATCAAACATGGTGCAGGTGTGTTTCAGCATCCTTGTTTTTCGCTGTTTTAAACAATGTTTCATTTCACTCAAACTCAACGAATATCGAATCAGTTGCTTCAATGCATTTTCAACATGTTGTTTAAAGTGCCTATTAAGCACATAAAAAGTTGCCTTCACCTTAGAGTATAAATGACCTCACCACGTTTCAGTTTATATAAGACTATCAAATTGAAGGCTGTTCCCATATTTTTTTGTTTGTAGTATATTTACCAGATTTGTGAGTGTGTGTCTGCCCGACATTCGTGCATGAATTATTGGGCAATATTCATGATGTGTACTTGCATAGTACTCATTTCTATGATTATGTAGTTCAAAGATTCGCGTTTATCATTACTTACATTGCTTTACACTTGAGGGCAAGATGCACAATGCCAGTCCCCGTGAGTTTCACGTAAGAGGTACACGTCTAGGACCAGCATCACTTCTGTCTGCTTGCGCACTCATTTCTTACGGAAGTGATTTACAGAGACTTGCGGTTCTGTTTTCTATATTTCATTTAAATAAGTCAAAGAAAAGAAGCTATGCGAGCGCAAATTAGGTTTATGCCGCTTTAAGCAATATTCCAGCAATATCAAGGGCTTCAAACATTGTACCCATGTGGGGAATCGAACCCGAAGCCTTCCACAAAGCGAACTCCGAGCTGAGATGCCTCAACGCCCATACCTTAACACAGGCTTTTAAAAGTTGTAGTGCACAGACCGCTTGGTGGAACGGTACACTGGAGCGAGGGTCGGTGGGGTAGCCTTGTGGTTAAAGCGTCCGCTCGTCAGACTGAATATCTGGGTTTGTTTCCAAATATGGGTACAATGTGCGACACGCGACATAGCGACAATTTCAAGGTCAATATATGTCGCGTTATCGCGCGTCGCCCTATGTAAGATGTGTAAAAACAGCCTAAAAATTTACCAAAACGAGACACGCGACAATGCGACAACGCGAATTTTGATGAAATGTCGCGTTGTCGCGTGTCGCGTTTTGGTTTATTATGCCTCACTTTACTTGTTCTTGAGAGGGCGACATAGCGACAATGTCCCTTCTCGGATTCCTTAGTTTTCCTATTTCAGATTATCATCAAAATTTCTAGCCGTCTTTACAACAGTGAGAAACACTAACAACATTGTTTTTACTGGAGTGATCGATCATTTAGTGCACATGAACTTCTTGAATTTGGAAACGCTGCTACACTACTGTCCAGCCACCAACATTCTATACGTCACTTTCAAATTTTGGACTTCTGTTTTGGTACTTCCACTAAGAATGCAACAACACTTTCCACACAGCGAATGTTATATTCTCTGTCAGACGATTCCAATGTAGGCAGGAATCTGTAAATTAGGTCGGTCAACAGTGTCTGTCTTTGGTTCAAGCCACGTGGGTTCGGCGTCGTCTTCAGGACGAGTCCTTTCAATGAGACTGATCAGAGCCTTCTCGTTCGTCGTCAGTCTCTCCAAGGCGCTCTTATACAGAACAACTGTCTTGGGGTTTAACAGACCGAACAGGTCCAGTCCCTCAATGATGAAGTGAGGCAGGTATCCCGCCTTGGCGTAGTGTAAGAGTCTGTTGAGGAGAGACAGGACACAGTCCTCTAGACAGCTTCTCTGCCACCGTGGTGAGTGGTCCACATGGTAATCCATGTCGAACAGCAACACGTTCTGGATCTGGTAGGGGGTCAGCATCTTCAGACGCCAGTCCTTCTGGCAAAGTCTACAGACGATCTGCAGCGCTTTGGTTCTAATACCTTTGTCTGTGCAGGATATCGATCGGATGATCTCAGCTTCTTTCTGTGCCCAACAAATTCTCCATCTCATTTCCGAAGCAGCGTTTTCATCCATGTCAAAAGGTTTGGACACAAGAACGGCGTTCGATTTGTATATGTGTATTGCGGGAATGATTTCTATTCTCCAACCATAGTTCCTCAGATCGTAGTATATACAGTAATGACTATCCTTCAGCACCATCTTCAGACGCTCAAACGGTATGGACTCTTTCTGAAAAGCCTTTTTCAGTATTTTGTGTAAAAGATGATATGTTTTCTTAGGCGACAAGTGGAGTCTGTCTTCTGATCGGAGATTCGAAAATTCATCCAACTCGGTGGAGTCGCGTCTGGGTAACTGCATGACCACGTATCCCGGCTCTAAAGGCTTCAGCTTCACCTTTTTCAAAGAAAATGGCAAAAGACAGGGAATTTCTTTCTCGGCTGTCGTCCACGGTGGAATGCTTTCAATGACAATTGGACGTTTGAAATCTAATTCAAATCCGCTCTTCCTGAGATGTGGAACAATCCAGTCAGTGAATTCTAGAACTTCTCGTTGGACTGTGGACATCTGGTCCTGATGAGATGTCACGTGGTCATTGATGTTGCTATCCTGAGCTAGCTTCAAAAGAGCGTCCCCTAGTTTCGTCTTCTGGTCTTTCTCTGTTTTCTGTCTGTGGAGCCGCGGAAGGTAGATGTGGGGAAGGTCATTGGACACTGGGTCTCCCTCAAACCTCACTCCAATGCTCTCGAGGAACTCTGCTCTCTTCCGGAGTCTCTTGGTCTCCAAGCGACGGCTGAATGGATAAATGCTGATCTCATACGATCGTCTCGGCATGGCTGGTATCAGTAACTGTTTGTTCCTGCAACAATATCGACAATATATTTCATATATCTATGGACATAATGGACATTGTATCATGTGTATGAACATCATGGACATTGTGTCATATATATGGACATTATATACATTATTTTATATATATGAACATTATGATGTCCAAAATGATGTCCGATGTATTTCCCGTTTTGACTTGCACTATATGTTCCTTGTACCATATGCACAACTATTCACTTGCCTTTGTAAGTGTTTGTGACGCTCGCCGTGGATACGTTTAGGGGTGATACACCTGGCATCATCCAGTACTGATAGTGGATCATAAACACTAGCTTAAGATATAGACTTGTAGGGCTATTTATGTTTACGGAAAGGTTTTGTCATTTTTTTGAAACAAAGATAGCTGCTAATGTGTGTTCAGACAACATTCACAGGTCACCGATTCTCAAAACTATCAAACATGGTGAATCAACGAGAATGGACGTCGAGACGTTCGAACTCCGGAAGAACATACAACATTATTTCCAGTTATTAAATTTTAAGCAATAATTGGTGTTCATAACGACGAATTTATCTAAAAATTAAGAGCACTATAGATAAGTAATAAAATATCAATATATAGAATAATAATATTTGGCCACTTATTTGGCTGAACTCCACCTTGCGCGGGCATGCTCTAAGCGCATGCAGCTTGATGGACCTTATTAGCCCGATAACCCAATAAAAGGTAGATAATTCGCGTGTACTCAAATAGGGAAATCAGGAGTCTCAGAGAATTGAAGGTAGTAAAACTCCAAAGATACGCGAGTTGAAGACTTTGAATCCTGTTTTACGCAAGAGAAACTCACGAAATAAGAAGAACTTGTGAACATAACCTGAACTGAAAATGGGATTCGCTTTCAACAAATCCTGGCGGGACTAATGCATGCGACTCTGGCGCCAGTGCCTTCTACAGGAAGCGACACGGGCATAAAGGTCGTTTCAGCCAGTGATTTCGTTTTTTTAGAAGACACATTCATGAAAGTACAGTAACGTGTGTTTCCTTACCATTCGGGGAGGTGGGATAGCCTTGTGGTTAAAGCGTTCGCTCCTCACACCGAAGACCCAGGTTCGATTCCCCACATTGGTACGTACAATGCTTGAGTCTAATTCTGGTATCCCCCGCCGTGATATTGCTGGAATATTTCTAAAACTATTTTAGAAATTTACTAAAAACGTAAAACTATACACATTCGCTCCATACAATGAAACAATCGATGACCTCTAAGACCGTGTGAATGAGACTTCGCTTAAAACTCTACCTTTTTAAAAAGATGTCGGTAGTTTTAGGACATCTCGAAACAGTTATACCAGCCAAGATACTCCCAAGGCGGGGAGCCATTTTTACCCATTAGTCTGTTGTTGCTAGGCAATAACAAACAGTCGTGTCTATTTCACAGGACCCCAGCGACACTTTAAGTAGGGATAGTTAGGTAAAAGGTAACACGTCACCCCCTGTTGTCGTGTAGATTGCAATCAATGACACAATGAATATCGCCCTCTCGTGGTGCTATCGGTTGTCACAGAGGTTCTTGACGCTAACATGGGATCAAGTCGATCGGAAAGGAAAACTCTGTCTATTGTCACGATCGCTTGTAAGAAACTCCTAGTGAGATATGATAATAAAAATCGGTTATAAAATCTCAGGTTCTACTTAGGAGTTTCTACCTTTCGGTGTTATGTCGGTCAATGTGTCTGTGTTTGGTTTAGATAGTATTGAATGTGTGCGCTGTAACCCATCGTAACTGGGAGAAAAGAAAGCATACGCTACAAAATAAAATTGAAAAACAACTTTCAAACCCGTATCAAATACATCCCAATCGAATACATTACCATTTCTCGTTTCATTTACAGTCACCATGAAACATTGGTGTTTACTTTCATTTTCACCGCAGTTTATATTATAATACAAATCGGGCGGTGGGTAGCCTAATGGTTAAAGCGACCGCTCGTCACGTTGAAGACCCGGGTTCGAATCCCCACATGGGTACAGTGTGAAGCCCATTTCTGGTGTCCCCCGCCGTGATATTGCTGGAATACTGCTAAAAGCGGCGTAAAACCGTACTCACTCACTCATAATACAAATCGCGTTTGAACCAGAAACGATGACATAAATTATGAGCAAAGATCAACGATCGACTCCACCTGGACAATCCAGCTTTCTTATACATGGGTGAGTTGCGGTGTAATACCACGTTGAACAGTATTCCGGTTGTATCACGGCGTGTCAGCTTAATGTGGAAGGGAATCCCGAAGGTCTCGGACGTCTGACACTTTGGTGAAACCCATGTAAGCACGAAACATAATCTACCGATGAAGATCCAGCAACACACGCTTGTCAACTAACGGGATCGGGTGGTCAGACTCTCTGACTTGTTTGACACATGTCATCATATCCCAATTGCGCAGATCGATGCTCATGATGTTAATCACTGGATTGTCTGGTCCAGACAACAAACAATACAAATCATACAAGTATGATATGTTGTGTATGCTTAAAAGGTTACTTTGCATTTAGTTTACACAAAATGAAATTTTAAACTAACCAGGTTCCAAGCCCGAATGATCATGGCCTCAAACCTCGAAATATAGATGAACCAAGTTACTGGATATCCCTCCGCTAATATTAGTTTTCCCCTATTGATAACTTCCCCCAGTCCCACCCCACTTCACTTCCAATCACTCAGGGCAGCTATGGAAATACAGCCCCCTAGAATATACTGTAATGATAAATGGTACCACGATCATTCGTATTTCAACCTGTACCTTCAGTATTCAATAAGCACATGGCTACACTCCAATATGCCCACAGCCCCGAGTTGCATGCTGCAGTTATTGTAACACTCGTCACGGCCTTCTCATACAGACATACATACACTAGTTTCTTTCGCCGAAACTAATAAGTGGTTCAGCGAGGGCAGTATTCCGGGGGACAGTTGCCCTGAAGCCATCAATGACCACTACGGGTATATAGAGGGGGCAGCCGTGTAGTACATGCGGGTGGGAAGGGGTGGGGAAATTGCGACCCTCATACAATATTGATTTCTAGATAAGACATGCTTGCCTGAGTGACGGATGAGAGTTCCACTCAGCTGCAGTGTTTTACTCAATCCAGGGTGGATCTAAGGATTTAGTCCGTGAGTCTGGGGGCTACACGGCCTGATAAATCGTGGAGGATTCTCAGTGTATTCTCCTTAGTCAAGAATGAATGAAGGGACGTCCAGATATTCAGACTATTTCCACGCTTAAATTGTAAGGGGCGGTGGGGTAGCCTTGTGGTTAATGCATTCACCTGACACGCCGAAGACCCGGGTTCGATTCCCCACATGTATGAAGCCCATTACTGATGTCCCCCTGCCGTGATATTGCTGGAAAGTTGGAAAGTGGCGTAAAACTAAACTCGCCCACTCCACTTAGTGAATGAGTAAAGATGGTTTTATGCATGTTTTGTTGTTGTTGTTGTTGTTGTTGTTGTTGTTTTGTGGGTTTTGGGGGTTTTATTTTTTAATTATTTTTTTTATTGTTTTGTTTGTTTCGTTTTTTTTTTGTTTTGTTTTGTTTTTGTTTTTTGGGGGGGTTGGTTGTTTTGTTTTGGTTTTTTAGAGGGGAAGTGTTTGGGGTGGCAATATTCTTCCCATTTGGGGAATCAAACCGCTGTATTTACCACACGGCTACCCCATAGCCCCTTTAACGTTGCGTCTATAAAAAGGTACGCTTGTCTGCCAGTTTAATATGTCAGTGAGTAAGTATGGTTCTCATCGGTTTTAGCGAATGTCAAGCATGACCATGGCTAGGAACACCAAGGGTGGATTTCCTTTTATCCGGATTCGAACACGGACCTTTACCGTGACGATCGAACGTGTTACCACGAGGCTATCCCACCATCGAGGGTAATCGAACCCAGTTCTTCGGCTTAACCATTAGGTTATCCCAACGCTCCTAACGAACCCATGAAGAGAATCGAACCGTGGTCATTCGGTGTTACGCGCAAACGAGCCTCTACATTTAAACTAACACCCACCCTAGTATCGCGTGACGGCCAATGTGACCAGTGTCTGTGGCTGCGTCTATTGACCCATGTTGGAGTGTCAACCGACACGAGCACAATCACCTGAAAAGAGTCTTCGTTTCCGGTTTCATCCAGATACATGTAATGGCATTACACAGTGTCAACAACGTACCCTGTCTGTTGTTGACAAAGTCATGGTATGAGATTTGCGAGCGTGCGTACGTGCGTGCGTGCGTACGCATATTTGTTGGAAAGAACTTTACAATAAAGCATGTTACAATTGCTTCTACTTTGCGGGAATATGCCACGAGTTACTAATGAACGCGTGAAGCCCTATAGTATAGTTAAGTCAGGAAGGTCCTTTGGCAACATTCCACGTTTTGCAGAATGAGCATCTTCGTATTAAGTGAGATACCACCAATGAATGTTCTTGTTACTTGCCTATGTCTTCACCTAAAGGTGCATGACTGTTGAAACAGCATATAGACTATTGATGTCAAATATGTTCTTAAATCTACTTGTCTATATTGTAATATTATATACCTGTATTTACTGTCAATAATAATGACTACTACTAAATACGAAAAACATCCAAGTCTTGTCCGATTCTGAGTGTGTACACTTTCTTTTTTGGCTGAGTATATTTTCGAGAATCTGCATTGGCGGTAAATATATCACATAACCAATATGTTGCTTGATTTCCATTTCGATTCATCAGAGAAACAAATTCTTGCTTCAACGCCCGAACACCAATCTCTCTACATGACGAATAAGAACAGAACAACCCAAAAAACCTGCATAAACAAGGCTACGAAAATAGGCCCTATAAATCAAACTGATCACGTGTAGCATACTTAAACTGTTTAATGGCCACGTGTTTCTATCGACAAGAGCTGACAACCATCTTAATTCTGTAACCGGAGATTAAAGCCTTTTGACATTCAACTTGTCAACGTTCAGCGGAGATATCTAGCGTGACATGGATTTTCAATAATTATTCCACATTATGGTCGGTGATTATGTAGTCTATCGCTCTGAAATAGCATCCAGGTTCTGTGAAAGAAGAAATTGGGCGTGTGGGGAAATCTTGGAAACAAAGATTTCGCTTGACACTTAATCATGGACGTCTTGTCACTGAATGGTTATCAATAGTGTGAAACGACGTCACATTTTCTCATGTCTAGAATGTAATTGGCCAGTTATTGTGACGGGGAGAGGGAAGCGGTTAAACCGTACACGACAATAGAACTAGTCGGGGACAACAGATATTATCGGGCTGAAATTCGATCAGTCAACGAAAACACCGCGGAACGTTTTGCCAGCGACTGTAAGAATTCGGTTAATGTCAAACAAATAAACTGTTCAATAAAAAAGAGCTTGATAAATTGTGTTGTGAAAAAAAATGTTGTTTGTATAAACATGAAAGAATATATACCACAGGTAGTATAACAGCTTTACACAACGTAACACCAGTTAACATAAACGCCGACGTGAATATTGTGACTGTATAGTGAGTGAGTATGGTTTTACGCCGCATTTAGCAATTTGTCAACAATATCATGGCGGGGACACCAGAAATGGGATTCACACATTGTACCCATGTGAGGAATCGAACCCGGGTCTTCGGCGTGACGAGCGGGCGCTTTGACCGCTAGGCTACCCCACCGCCCCAGCGGATGTATACATGGTGGTAGAATGTGGCAGTTGCACCCGTCAATTCTCGAATATTCATGAAATGTTTATCTTATTCTTTTTTCAAATCGACACTAAGTTCCAGTCATAACACATCTGACCTGATGACACTTGGACAGCTCGACCCAGAGATAATAGTGAGCTGGTTAACTCTCAAGGACACCTGGAAACTGGTCACAGATAACAATGAGCTCGTCAGACTGTCAAGGAAACCTAGGAGCTGATCACAGATGAAAGCGTAACAGTTAATGGCTCTTCTAAACGAGGACAAGCACTGCACTATTTATGCTATTTTCGCAGCACCTAATCGTGACATCTACTTTATACGAACCACTGATGGTAATTATATCCGTAGGAGAATGTAAGCACGCGATATTCCAATTCATAGATATTGATTATGTTGATCAAACGTCGATCCTATTACCTTCTATAGTGAATATTCATATTTCTGGATAAACCCTTTGAGTTAAGTCTGCCACAGAGATGATGATTAAAAATATCCTGAATCATCCGGGGATATTTGTACACAAGATAACAACAGTTTGTATTGCGGAGAGTTGAATAGGTGTATTAAAATAGAACGCCGACGTGCACGAGGTGTAGTGAGGTAGCCTGGTGGTTAAGGCGTTTGCTCGTCACGCCGAAGACCCGGGTTCGATTTCCCTCATGGGCACAATGTGTGAAGCCATTTCTGGTGTTCCCCGCCGTGATGTTGCTGGAATATTGCTAAAAGCGTCGAAAACCTAAACTCACTCACTCTTAAGTTGTAAGTGAATGAGTGAATATGTTTTTTGGTTTTTTTAATATTCCAGCATTTTTCCAGCTTTCGGCGGAAGAAAAAGCGGCGTAAAACTAAACTCACTCATAGTCCAGTGCTGAACAATCAACACAACCTAAGTTGTGAATTAAAGACACACAAGGTTGTCCCCAGGAATGAATGAGTGAGTGAGTGAGTTTAGTTTTACGCACCACTCTGCATTATTCCAGCTATATGGCGGCGGTCTGTTAATAATCGAGTGTGGACCAGACAATCCAGTGATCAACAGCATGAGCATCGATCTGTGCAATTGGGAACCGATGACATGTGTCAACCAAGCCAGCGAGCCTGACCACCCGATCCCGTTAGTCGCCTCTTACGACAAGCCTGGGTTACTGAAGGCAAATTCTAACCCGGACCTTCACGGGTAAGGAATGAATGAGGACACTAACCGTGAAGAATAAAGCAATCCTTACGGGAACTGGACTGATTCCATCACCAGGTGAATATTGTAAACGATGTTTACCCATATTATTCATATAATCCATGTAATTTATCCTTATCTTCTTCAGGTGGGTACAGATACTTACTAGTATTTACCACTTCAGTAATATTACCACCCAGAGTGCTAAGGGCTGGTTAAGTTAAAGAACCCAACACTGTTTACCCAACAAGTGACTGCGATGACAAAAAAGGCTTTTTATAGTGAAGCTGCCAAACACTTATTCAAAGCATAAAATAGTGGTGCGTTGGACTCCAAGCAACATGGTCGTGTTATTGAATTTGTAAGAGACATTCCGCTACATAATAAAATCTCTAGGCGCAGATATAACAATATTTATTAATGTATTTTAATCTTCTTAGCCTCTAGGAAAGCCAGTTAAATACAAAAGTAAACAAGCCGGCTCAATAGCCCGTATCGTGTGACAGAGGCGCTTAAGCTCTCACGACAAAATAGTTATACTGAACAGTAAAAATAAGAAATTTCAACACGTCGGGTGAAGGAGCTGCTACAGTAATGTCATGAGTGAGTGAGTGAGTGAGTTAAGATTTATAGTCACATCGGCAATATTTCAGCCATATCGTGACTAAAGTAATGTCATGAACAAGTCTATTACCTATTGAATAAAGATCGCGGATTTAACCATTTCAGTTGGTTCTACTATTTCGTGTCGTGTTTACTTAGATTAAGGTGCGCATAGTGTCCAGTCACACAAGTCGTGTAGTGTCCTGTCTGAGACAAGCTGTGTAGTGTCCAGTCTGTGATAAGCCGTGTAGTGTCCTGTCTGAGACAAGCCGTGTAGTGTCCAGTGTGACACAGGTCGTATAGTGTCCAGTCACACAAGTCGTGTAGTGTCCAGTCTGAGACAAGCTGTGTAGTGTCCAGACTGAGACAAGTCGTGTAGTGTCCAGTCTGAGACAAGTCGTGTAGTGTCCAGTCGGAGACAAGTCGTGTAGTGTCCAGTGTGACACAGGTCGTGTAGTGTCCAGTCTGAGACAAGTCGTGTAGTGTCCAGTCTGACACAAGTCGTGTAGTGTCCAGTGTGAGACAAGTCGTGTAGTGTCTAGTCTGAGACAAGTCGTGTAGTGTCCAGTGTGACACAAGTAGTGTAGTGTCTAGTCTGAGACAAGTCGTGTAGTGTCCAGTCTGAGACAAGTCGTGTAGTGTCCAGTCTGAAACAAGCCGTGTAGTGTCCAGTCTGAGGCAGGTCGTGTAGTGTCCAGTCTGAGACAAGCCGTGTAGTGTCCAGTCGGAGACAAGTCGTGTAGTGTCCAGTCGGAGACAAGTCGTGTAGTGTCCAGTCGGAGACAAGTCGTGTAGTGTCCAGTCGGAGACAAGTCGTGTAGTGTCCAGTCGGAGACAAGCCGTGTAGTGTCCAGTCGGAGACAAGTCGTGTAGTGTCCAGTCGGAGACAAGTCGTGTAGTGTCCAGTCTGAGACAAGTCGTGTAGTGTCCAGTCTGAGACAAGCCGTGTAGTGTCCAGTCTGAGACAAGTCGTGTAGTATCCAGGGTGACACATGTCGTGTAGTGTCCAGTCTGAGACAAGTCGTGTAGTGTCCAATTTGACACAAGTTGTCTCATGTCCAATCTCGTGTCCAGAGTAAGAAAGAAATCTATTTGTCCAGTCAGAAAATAAGTCTTACCTCAGCCAGGTGCTCTTTTGGTATCAGAAAAAATCAGAAGTAAGTGAGAGACATACTCTCAGCAGGTGTTGTAAATCCCCCACTAAGCCAAGAGACCACCGGACATTCTATCCACGCCTCTCCCGTAACGCCGCACGAGACAGCTTCAAATTAAATTCGGCTTATTTGAGAAAGCACACATGTCAATATTTTCCCATAATGCGTATTTTCTCATAATCTTTTATACACTACCATCTACAGGAAATGTCGGGCTATTGTCGTCAACAGTGCTTGCTTTCGGTTAAAATACGTACACAGAAATGCAGGTCGGGTGCATTACAAAGCAATGGTGATTAATATCACTGGCATTTCAACGGCGTTTCATATCGTCATTGCGGGAGAGCTCGTACAAGGTGATGCTCTGAAAGTGCCCTTGTCACGCAACACTGGAAACTCAGTGTACGAGTTATAGTAGCCATAGGTGGGAATGGGGAAAGTAGGGGTGGGAATGGGGAAAGTAAAGTGGGGGGATGGGGAAAGTAGGGGTGGGGATGGGGAAAGTAGGGTGGGGATGGGGAAAGTATGGGGTGAGGTTGGGTGAAGGGTGGTGTTGGGGGAAAGTAGGGTGGGGATCGTGAAAGTAGGGGTGGGGATGGGGAAAGTATTGGTGGTGATGGGGAAAGTATGGGGTGATGGGGAAAGTATGGGTGGTGATGGGGTTAGTAGGGGTGGAGATAGGGAAAGTATGGGTGGTGATGGGGTTAGTAGGGGTGGTGATGGGGAAAGTATGGGGTGGAGATAGGGAAAGTATTGGTGGTGATGGGGTTAGTAGGGGTGGTGATGGGGAAAGTATGGGGTGGAGATAGGGAAAGTAGGATGGTGATGGGGTTAGTAGGGGTGGTGATGGGGTTAGTAGGGGTGGTGATGGGGTTAGTAGGGGTGGTGATGGGGAAAGTAGGGGTGGGGATAGGGAGAGTATTGTTGGAGTTTGGTTAACATTTATGCTTCCCCGTATCGGTGGCTTAACTTCAAGGACATACGTACTTTTGTCCCTTGAAAAGGCACTGTATTTTCATAATGTGAGTTTATCTGTGCGACTCCTGAAGATATATAGACATCGGCAGCACCATGAAGTATGAATTCTACTAATTCCATTCTTACTAACTATAGATATTGATCTGTTCACATTTCAAACTTCAATAACTACTTACAGACAATATAAATACAAACAAGAGGGTTTACAGTTTCATGCATATGAACTCAATTCTACAACATATTTCTGTATGTCACTATCAGTATAAAAAATGTTGCTACAGAGGAATCATATTTCAACACATGTTCCTAACGCATCAGTTATTAAACATATACAAATGAATCACCCCTGCACCCCACAAAAAGAACTCTTACATACTAAAGAACATGTAAATGCACATTGAACACAACTATTTACCTGCCGATGTGTTATCGTCCACTACGTAGAAGTATTCCCTCCTTGCTGCCGATGTGTTATCGTCCACTACGTGGAAGTATTCCCTCCTTGCTGTCGATGTGTTATCGTCCACTACGTGTAAGTATTCCCCTCCTTGCTGCCGATGCACATTCATCGACCTGGGAATTATCACAGTACGGCTTGTCAACACTGCCGGCGTCACACGCCGCCTACAGCATGACAACGACACTGCCTCCGGCGTGACATCTCACCCTGCGTGAAAAGAGTGTATGTGTCACTCTGCCCCACAGCGAGACCCCTGTGCAGCAGATCACACAAGATAAATCACATGTCAGACCCGACCACCCTGCCGGTCAGTCGCCACCATTAATACTTCTGGCACTCATAGTTTCAATTCCAATACTCCTGTCAGCGCGTGCTATATCTGTAATGAAATACGGCTATTGAAAAGCTCCACGCACTGTGTATTGTATATGAGCATATGAACTGCTATGTCACCTTGAAACGAGTTTCGATATTCATACCATTGATACTTGTGTATGTTTATGATAATTTATCTTTCAGTGAATGGTTTGTTGTTTGACACAGGAAATAATTAAAGTAATATATCATATGCTTGTGACAGTGCTATCAATTGATATCACACATGTCGAGATACACCCAATGGGTTGTGGTTGAAGTATAGATGACACATCATGTCGACATTATTAAAGCCCCCACTTCACTTTATCATCCTTATCAAAATGTCGATCTGCAAAGTAATCTAAGTTGACTTCTGTCTGACCCCGTCTAAGACGCCGAGATTTGTTTTTTCCTGTGGAATAATAACTGCAGACTACTTTGCACACGGAAAACGGGTGACACAGTCAAGTAAGGCGCCGGGATTTGTCAAAGAGTTGCGTCCCTTGGGCAAGACTGAAACCTCTGATCGTGGGTTCGAATGATGGTTTACCCTAAAAGTGTCTAGGTATATCAGCTTATTCTGGGTGTTGGGTTTTACCAAAGTGGTAAATATCCCTGCATCACATCGGTCTTTCCTAATACTTGTCTCGCCGTGATGTAACTGAGTGAGTTTAGTTTTGCGCCGCTTTTAGCAATATTCCAGCAATATCACGGCGGGGGACACGAGAAATGGGTTTCCGACATTGTACCCATGTGGGGAATCGAACCCGGGTCTTCGGTATGACGAGCAAACGCGTTGAACACTAGGCTATCCCACCGCCCCTCCATGATGTAACTGGAATAATGTTCCAAAACTCACCAGATCATTCTAACCCAGAGCTGTTGGGAAGCCAGTTTGAATGCCTGCAAAGGTCCATTGTGTAAAGCCTATTGCTGGTGTCCTATCAGTTGTGATATCACAGAATATCGCTTAATGCGGCGTAAAACTACACTCGCACCCACGACCCACGTGTACCTGGATCTTGAATGGTGACTGTAAATATTTCCATTCCTTAGTAACACACAACTGAACCTGGCCGTTTACAGTTTGCATTTCTTCATATGTACATTGAGTAGCGCATCGTGAATGTCACTTTTTGCCATGTGTCAACCAACACCAGTCTGACCACCAGTGATCGAAATAATTTTCAAACTCAACCAGACAGTCGGGTAGGTGACCAATAAATGTTGCCTGCCCGTCTGGAAAGTTGCCTGCCCGCACTTTTGACTCATAAATTGCATTTATCATTGTTTCAAATGTGAATTAATTACTCATTCACATCCCCAGCCTATCATTTTTGGAACGAGCCTGTTAAACTTTCAATTCCCCTTATCGGTTTACATTATCAAAATGATATATTTTTTTAGAAAAAAAATAATAGCGAAAGTTTAGAGCGATACCCTCCTCAAATATATATTTCTCGCGTGTTATTCATACTAAGCTTCCAAAAGGGAGGTATTTAAAATATCAGCCAGAAAATCGGGCTTGCGGAGATTTTTTTCAGGCAGCCCGACACGAAAGTTGCCAGCCGAGGGCAGGCCGTTATTTCGATCACTGCTGACCAACCGATTTCGTTAGTCACCTCTTACGACAAGCATGCATGGGTTGCTGAAGACCAATTCTAACCGGATCTTCAGGGGTCCACAATATCATCAATTATGACAGCAAGCATTACTTACGACGTATAACTTAACACGATGCTAGCATTAAGATGTCCTAAGGAACGAGAGTACTTCATACAACGTATTAAGTAACACAATGTCAGTAATACACCGCTAATGTTACTGATTACTAAAAGATTCTACAAATAATGAGTGAGTGAGTTGGGTTTTACGCCGCTTTTAGCAATGTTACAGCAATATCACGGCGGGGGACACCAGAAATGGGCGTCACACATTGTACCCATGTGGGGAATCGAACCCGGGTCTTCGGCGTGACGAGCGAACGCTTTAACCACTAGGCTACCCCACCGCCCCGATTCTACAAATAAGAGCAACGACAATAATAATTACACCAGAAGCTCCAAGGTAGCGATGTAGCACCCAAACACGGCTTTCTTAAAGCGGAACCAGTTCCATTAAGTTAAGTATCACGGTTCTTGCAAGAACACGACCACTGACCACTGGCTGCATCAACACTGAATGGCCAGCTAGAAATTCTTGACAGACCGGCGGTGTCTTACGGCCAGGGTCGCTATTTTGTCAACTAGTTTCTATAGAAAAATAACTTCTAGTCATCAGATTGACAAAACCACGTGGTTGTGGTAATTCTGTTTCACAATAACTAAACCGGGGCTCCGGTGGGATTATGTTCAGTATAAACACTGCATGTCGACATACAAATATTGACTTGCAGTTGTTATACTCTGGGTGTATTCGTATGAACAATACTTCTTTGTGCGGTATATTCTCACATTGTTTGCGAGACGATCTATTCAGATTGTCACTCGCTGCCTGTAATTCATATTGTACATATTTGAATTGTGTATAGCCCCGTAATTCTACCTTTAGAATCTGAATCACCCGAAGTATTCGTCTTCAAGATTGAAATGAGTTATTCTAAAGCTGACATCCACGTTCACGGCTAAACTGTATTTAAAACTACATACATCAGCCAGTCAATGATAATGAATATTTATTCTAACATATGTTATATTTTGGATTACACTTTCTCAGTAAAGTACAGATTCTAGTACTTTTGGGGTTGAGTCCCATCCGGGATTCGAACCCACACCCTCAGAGTCAGGCACCTAATCGCCAGCACACACAGTCAGACGCCTAGACCGCTCAGCCACCGCGGCTTCCACCACTAGTGGTTCGAATCCCGGATGGGACTCAACCCAAACAGTACTAGAATCTGTACTTTACATTTGACCACTTTCTAAAATGGCATTGTGTATGAAATATTTATTCTGTTCTCAGACTAATAACTATATTAGATGTTTGAATTCCGTCAATTTTTTAAGATGAAATTCCTTTTGTCAAATTTTAAATCTTATGGAGTCACACTCGTCACTCCTCTTCAAACTAAGACCTTCAAACCGTGACGTGAATTGCTTGGCACAGATGGATTACTGCTGAAAGCTCTAGAGCGGCGTAAAACTATATTCACGTCACAACATGAGGAAGGAGTCTATCCCACTTTCATTACATTGTTATTAAAACGTTGTTGAAATCAAAACAAGATTCTATATTTCACGACCCTCCCAAACTAACCTGTATTTTACTGTACGAGTATGCACGGTTTGATTTTGCAAGCCTATTATCCTTCACATGTCTCTATGTTACCAAGAAACATGAATTGTTTTCACTTGGTTTCCGTGGACGGCAGTGAGAGTTACACGAGATTATCTGGCCATCTGTCAATCCGAGAAGCCAGTGAGGAGCGCCCCCTACCGAGAGATCAAATACCGATAACTCCTCCGTGACAATGACGAGTGAAATACTTTAATTCCCAAGGTAGAAGCTGGCGAATGGGGTTTGTTCTCCGCATGTTTTCAACCAGCATGAGTCACGACAAAGCAATGATAATAAGACTTAACAAAGCCCCTTGTGTTACCCTGTAATCAGGTGATACGCTCCGTAGTTCATTGTGAGTTATTCACGTTTCACAGTGATCTGCCGAAGAGGGTTTCACTACTGTTTGACCTCGGTAGAGCTCGGCAAGTCAACTTTCTCCGACACAAGTTGATCAGTTTCGTCCGAGTCTGTTTTTCCTTAACTCATAAATATTACATTTGCACCCTCCTCCACTCAGGAAACTATTTCAATGTCAATATTTTTTTTTAATCATAAGATTGTAAATTGTAGAAATAAATAAATTGACAAATATTGGTATTGTTGCAAACTGAAAAAAATCACTCTGATTTTAAATCAACTAGTATGAAAATACCACAACCATATTAGTACACTTCGATAGGCATTCTACGTTTATTGACTAGCTGTGAACCTGTGAAGATGCGGCTTAAAATTGGTGTTACCTAGGCTTGTCGAAAGTATCGGGATCGGGGGCTCCCGGACTTGGTTGACACATCTGTCCCCAGGCAAATTTGGGATTCGAACCCACGATCGCAGGTTTCTGGTATGCCCGCTGCTCACCATGTCGCGTACCTCAGACAACAAGGCCACCCATTTAATTATACTTCCGTTACTAGACAACATATCCAAACCTGGCAAATCCACTACTTTTATGTCAAAAAAGCTAACACTACATTTGTGACGTTGCTGACGTCCGCGTGTGCTTTCCCTGAGCTGCTGGAAATTGAGGTCCACGTGGACCCATCCTCATGCTGTCACGTCGTAATGCCGAAATAACACCATTTCTTCAAGGATCAACGTGCACGTTATGTTGTCGTTTCTAAGAAACAAAGGTAAATGAACAATAACTTCTGACACGCAGTAGATTAAACATGACGAGAATCAACTGTAAATGATCATTTGTCTGAGGTAATGTTTACTAGCACTGGGAACGTCGCATGCCAATCACCTGATTTTAAGTCAACAAAGCACTACGGGTGTATCAACGAACTAAGTGTTCCGTGGAAAAATCAATTCTCATAAAAAAAAATAGCCTGGCGACTTTCGTGAGAATATGTATAAGTTGGCCGAAACCTTTTTAAGTTATTCAGTACAACACCACTCGTGAACATTAACGGATACATGACCTTGGCGATAACATGCTCACACACATTTAAACAACGTCCACTGAAGCTTTGAGGTCAATATGAGACAGCATCGTAAGGGTCAATTCTAACAGCTAAATCGTTTAGTAAACGTTATGGTTGGTTTTGTAAACAAACAATTCTAGATCAGTGACTATTGTCAACATCAGAAACCAAAGGCCTATGAAACATGACGAGGGTGACGTGAGACCATACGGTGATGTTGTCCCTGACACAGCTCCAGCTTATATGAATACTTGTGTGTTCAGCGGAAACGTTCAGTCTGTGTGGATCACTGTGATGATGATGATGCGTGTGATATTGTGTGTCGTTGCTGTTGCGGCATCGACACATGCTGGTTCCATCCATTGCAAGAATACTCTTATGTCCGGCGGCTTGTCTGAGAAGTTCAACGAGACTGTGGCTCATGCCATTCACTCTATGACAGTCCAGGGTCTCAGTATGTTCATCAAACACGCCTCCGGGGACAACGCCATCCCCACCGTCAACCACGACCTCAGAGGCGTGAAAAAGGTACTTCCATACGCCCCCAATGATCCTCTTGGTACAGACTTCAGAACGCACACCATGAACACCATCGACAAGATCCTTTCAAACCTCGGCAAGCCAACTGACGGACTAGGGGACAACTGGTCACCAATTGAGAGGGTCGTGCACAACTTCCACATGTGGGACCTCTGGACTAAGATTCTAGACGTCTACAGGACCATGGAGAAGACTCCACCGTCCCATTCTATCTGTCGCTGTCTCCTGGACACAAGAGGGAACGGTATCAATAAAGCTGTCCATTGGGTTGCTGACCACTACAAGACGGGGACACCCATCACCCTCCTCAACAGACCAATCCCAAAACTTACGGATGCAGCATCGTGGGCTACTTGGAAGGGTCGTCTTCTTCATTACTACAGCCCAGATGCCTTGACAGATGCTGCTACCTACCTCCACTGTGTTAACATGGCCATGTAGGACACCAACAAGATGTTGTATCTCATCTGGAACAATTATTGGACTGATTCATGATACTGTAATGTACATTTTTGAATGTTTTTTAAAAGCACGTATATCATGTTCCTCGAACTGATTCAATGGCCGAGGTGATTTGTTTCGAAATTTTAACGATAATAAATGTGTTCTTTTTCATTTGTACCTTTGGATTATCGCAAATTATGCAAATAAATCCCTTCATCTTTTGTTTTACTACAGAAATTATGCTAGTGGTCATGCCCGTGTTATTTAAAGTAGAATATTATAGGTAGTAGGTTTATCATGACGGGACAACGATTTAGTACACTCTGCCTGTGCCTGAGTGAATAGACACAGTAACACCGAGGGTGGTTGAACCGTATTCCTGTATGTAGGATACACACCCGATTTATCTTCTTGTCATGAAAACACAAACTGTGAATAGAATTTCTTCACCATCATTTCAATTTCTCACAATATTGTCAGGTGAGCTCTGGATGTCACATTAATGTTTAGGTTCCCAGCGTCGGGTACATTTAAAGCCAATGTATTATATCTCATGTGACGCCGTTTCGCTGTCAGGAGCTTGAACTCTATTATTAAAACCGCTGTAGCAGGATGCATGGGAATTATTCAAAATGGCCTTGATAGTATTATTACAGTTTTGCACATTGTATACGTAATTAAGATAAAAACACTCTATATTAACATAATAATATGGCCACTACCTCCACGCCGCATGCTCTAAGCACATACTACATAATGGATAGCATTACCCCGGTTATCGCATGCTGCCTGGGAGGCGCTAGATGGTTAATAGTCATATGACTTATGTCACCGGTACCCATTTACTGCTAGATGAACATATAGGGCATGAAGACAATGTCATGTAAATGAGTTGGAAAAAGAGATCTTTCAACTTTGCCTGAAAAGAATATTTCATATTTAGATTCAAATGTTCACATCCATCGGTTTCATTTTTGTGAATTCAAAACGAAGTTTGTCCACAATTCACTAATTTACATGTCGTTACACACTGATTAGACAACGATCGAATAGTGACCTAATACGGTAAAATGATACAATTCCAGCTGACCCGAAAAGATATATATATAATATGGGAGACCCGTGAAGGTCTGGGTTAGAATTGATTTTCAGTAACCCATGCTTGTCGTAAGAGGCGACTAACGGGATTGGGTGGTCAGGCTCGCTGACCTGATTGGCACGTGTCATCGTATCTCAGTTGCGTAGAACGATGCTCATGATGTTGATCATTGGATTGTCTGGTCCAGACTCGATTAATTACAGGCCGCCGCCCCAAAACTGTGTGCGGCGTAAAGCAAACCGAACCCAAACTAGAACTCCAGCTGAGTTGGCCTAGAGAACGAGACCCCGCGCCTTGTACAATCACGGGTGGTTGTATACACAAAGGCATCAGGTAGCTGATATTACACCCGGATCTTCCAAGTGTGGGATTAAAACGTTTTCGAGGTTTGGGTCGAAATTGCAAAACCACGGGTGAGGTAACAGCGCTGACGCTTGGGTTCTCCCTGTACCTGGATTCTACATAGTCAATGACAACCGAGAAGACATTTTTGAATGAGATAATGCGTTACTGTTATCTAAAGAAACGCTCGTAAAATGTATCTGGGAAGGAAACATTCTTTGAACATCTAAAGTTTATATTCAGCTACTTATGGGGTCTAATAGTGAAATATGTTTATCAGTAGATTGCCCTTTATATTGAAAATGTTCAATTCCTTCACGTCAGCTAATAAGGTCTTACTGGACAAAGTGAAACCTATTCAGCATAAGGTCTTACTGGGAAAAGGGAAACCTACCCAGGATGAGGTCTTACTGGACAAAGTGAAACCTATTCAGCATAAGGTCTTTCGGGGAAAAGTGAAACCTTACTGGGAAAAAGTAAACCGTCTCAGAAGCTATTGCGAACACAAGTAACAATGACAACAATAGTCAATATTCGTGATAAGATTATTGGGATTGTTAATGTTTTGCCCCTTGCTTGCTGGCTGGTCTTCAGGTTTCCTGGGTTAATACTTCTGTAATACTGCTGAAAGCGTTGTAAAATCTCACCCTGGAAAGTCTGTTGGTATCTGACAGTGACCTTTCTTCCCGCTGAGGAGGATATGGGGGTAGAACTGTGGGCAAAGCATTCGTTCGTCACGCAGTAGACCAGGGTTCGATGGTATAACGTGTGAAACCCATTTCTGGTATCCCTCGCCGTGTTATTGCTGAAATAAATGCTTAACGTGGCGTAACATGATACTCACACACTCATCATTAGGGCCATAGAAGTCATCGTAATACTTAATACTTCATCGAAAATATGTTCCGGTCAGACTCAGTTAACGGTGTATTTATCGCCTTATAGTGGTGAGTCTCGTTAAGGTGATGGGGTGGGGCTATAGTTGGGGGTTGGGCTATATGTGTCTAGGGCATGAAGACGATGTTTGTTTATTTTGTTTGTTTGTTGCACACAACAATAATCCAGCTATGAGGCAGCGATATGTAAACAATCGAATCAAGACCAGACAATCCAGTGATCAACATCATGTGCATCGATCTACGCAACTGGGAGACGATGACATGTGTCAACCAAGTCAGCGAGCCTGACCACCCGACCCCTTTAGTCGTCTCTTACAACAAGCATGGGGCGAGTGTTTGATAGCGTGAACATCAAATTGATCAATACATTGTCACACCATGAATTACTGTGTATAGCACAGGTTGGTCTAACGATGTGGACAACAAGCTAAGTGACAATCAAAGGGTGTACAGGCGGCCCAGTTGTCTAAGAAGCCGTGATACATTGTGCAATGTTGCCCTTGGGTAAATTGTGGGGTGCCCCAACTGTTTTCGGATTTACCTATATTTGTTGGTTTCACCAAAGCGGTAAACGTCAAGTGTCTGTATTACTTGAGACTTTCGTCCCACACCAAGTTGCCACGCTTTTACATAACTGTAATACTTATCAAAGCGGTGTTACTCACTCACTCACTCACTCACCCATAATATGCACAACAGTCAGTGAGTATTTTAGAGCATGGACTGCGTTGTTATAGAACATTGCCAACTTTTAGAACCTTGCAGAAACGAACTTCTTCAGAACAATTCATTTTGTTTTGAACATATCTGCACGGACTAGCAACTAAGGACGTACTGCGGTCGAGTAATGCCTGTCTACGAACGGGATGGACGTGGTGGAAACTGAATACAAACGTACCGCAATTGATTGAAACACGGTCATTCTGTTCGTAGTAAGTACTCGTATCTAGTTTAAGTACGTTTTCACTCCGTCCCATTTTAGAATGGGTAGAACGTTGGACATGTTCAACGTTCTGGAGCATCCTTCCGTCCCTACTCCGAACGAGCCCGTCCATAAAGTTCTTAAACAGACTGCAAACAGGTGCCACTGCGTACAGTCCGTTCGCACACAGTTCGAGCCCGATCCGAACATTTTTCAAGAACTTACTGAAAACGTGTTTAGTGTGATGGGGGTGTAACAGCCATCCAATAACCTAATCGGCAATTCCTTTCAGAAAATCAGCTGTCATCCCACTGACCATGGAGTGGGTGATCAAATGTGGTTTACGGCAGTCAGTATTGCCGTGAACTAAAATTCTGTTCGGGACCCGACAAATTAGTAGTTGACAATACGAACAACCATACAGTCATCGAGGCACAACAGTACTGATCAAATCAAACACTGATGCGACTCAATCCTTATAAGTCGACTTGCGACAACCATACATCCATCGAGGCACAACAGTACTGATCAAGTCAAACACTGAAGCGACCCAATCCTTATAAGTCGACTTGCGACAACCATACATCCATCGAGGCACAACAGTACTGATCAAGTCAAACACTGAAGCGACCCAATCCTTATAAGTCAACTTGCGACAAGCATACATTCATCGAGGCACAACAGTACTGGTCAAGTCAAACACTGACTCAATCCTTATAAGTCGACTTGCGACAAGCATACATTCATCGAGGCACAACAGTACTGATCAAGTCAAACACTGACTCAATCCTTATAAGTCGACTTGCGACAAGCATACATTCATCGAGGCACAACAGTACTGGTCAAGTCAAACACTGACTCAATCCTTATAAGTCGACTTGCGACAAGCATACATTCATCGAGGCACAACAGTACTGGTCAAGTCAAACACTGACTCAATCCTTATAAGTCGACTTGCGACAAGCATATAGAATCATCAGGCAAGCAACATTCCATCGAGCATCAACATACTGATCAAGTCAAACACTGACTTTCCTGGACCGGAATCAAACACTGGACTCAATCCTTATAAGTCGACTTGCGACAAGCATACATTCATCGAGCGCCAACAGTACTGGTCAAGTCAAACACTGTCCATGGTGGAATCCGGTTTATAAATCCCACGAACTGTTTTACGTGACCATAATGACCAACTCCAGTAGGGATACTCGTGGAATCCGGGTCGGGTACAGCTGGAATCGAGTCCTATTTCTAGGAATCGAGTACCCGGAAAAGGAGAGAATCTGTAATGGGCAGACAATAACTTGTCTTTTTCATTATTGACGTAACACATTTGCATCATTGGCATTGTCCGATTAATGGAGGTTATCATTAACGACTGTAATATATCTGAGCATGAGCAGTGAGGAGTCAAGTTACAGTAACAGCGTCAATGGTTTTATTCTCTATATTGGTTAAACCAGGGATAATCTACAACACATATAGTCTCCCTGGTTAAACAGCGGCAATGGTGTTACTCTCTATATTGGTTAAACCAGGGATAATCTACAACACATATAGTCTCCCTGGTTAAACAGCGGCAATGGTGTTACTCTCTATATTGGTTAAACCAGGGATAATCTACAACACATATAGTCTCCCTGGTTAAACAGCGGCAATGGTGTTAACTCTCTATATTGGTTAAACCAGGGATAATCTACTACACACATATAGTCTCCTGGTTAAACAGCGGCAATGGTGTTACTCTCTATATTGGTTAAACCAGGGATAATCTACAACACATATAGTCTCCCTGGTTAAACAGCGGCAATGGTGTTACTCTCTATATTGGTTAAACCAGGGATAATCTACAACACATATAGTCTCCTGGTTAAACAGCGGCAATGGTGTTACTCTCTATATTGGT